GCCGAACCCTTACTCCCGCCTCTTTTTTTCGGTGTATATTATTTAAAACGAATTTTAACACATTTTTAAAATGCAACCAGGTCCCCGTTCCTGTCTCAAGAATGTCCCAGTCTCAAGAATGAACAAATCTATACAGGGACCATTCCTAACCCATTTTGTCTTTTTTCGATGTTATTTCTCAAAATGTTCCCTTTTCCCGATAATGGGGTATTTCACATCTCATTGGGTTCCCAGCGTGTTTTGGTAATGTCGCCCGAAATCTAAAATCGATGAGGTGTGGTATCACAAAGGAGTCCTCTGTATACTCATTTCGTCCAGGGGAATTTAACTGTAATCAGAGGTGGGGTGAGTGGGGAGGGTTGGAGTCTCTTGTACGCCTACTGTATTGCGTTTCTGTTTCGGGTTTTGTTTGGCGTCTTCTGCGAGGCTTGAATCTTTCAAAGAAATTCCTTAGGGAGACGTGGAGAGGGGGGGGGGGACAAAATTAAATTCGGAAATTAGATGGAATTCTAGCAACGTCAGCATAAAACCGAGAGCAAGACAGGGGACAAAGTGAACGTACAGAGATGGCAACGTGCCCCCATATGGGAAAACGCTAACACTTTAGTGGGAACTTTGCTATGATAAGAAAAATACATATCGGGCTAAGTGAGCAGCAGCTAAACATCTCACGTATTCAAATCAAATTGATGGAAAGCTTTTATTTCTAAACATCTTGACAGGCATGTTTTCCTTGAAAAGAGAATGGGCCGAAAGTAATGTGATGTTGAGTTCCTACTACAGCATTCAATGATGAAAAGGGAACCAAATTTAAATCTTTGCATGCATCGAAGCTATAAAGTTGCAGTAAATATTATTTACATTTACATCCTCGTTCACGTGACTCAGGCGCCAGTGCGTGTAGACAACGTCGAGCCTACCATCATTGGCCAGGTTGACGAGTATAACGAGCATTCCAGCAGGATACGAAAGACGCGGGGATGCTTGATCAAGTATTTCCTTTATATGAAAACCAACCAAACACGCATACGAACAGGCGGACGAGCCTAATCATCACGTACAAGGCACCAGTACCCGCAATTGCAAACCACAACGTATTATCATGACCTAGGAATAAAAATATAACGTGTAAAGTACGTGTATCGGGTCAACACCCCTTTCGATATTCTTAGGTTGTTTATTTTTTACAAACATCTCATTGGGGTTTTTGATAGAGCCAGTTAAACTAGATACTTCCAGCGGAAAAAACAACTGAGGGGAGGGTAAACACTGTCTGTTGGTCAACAGGTTAAGGTTTATGGTATGGTATTTGTTTAGCGCCCCGATAACAAATACTAAGCTTAATTAAGGGGCGGCGCCTATGATTTTTATGTGTTCATGTCAAGTGGGTAAAAATCCTTTACAAAATATCCAAAGTAACCAAAACTCAAGATCACCTCGTTGGAGATTCAAACCAGGGCTAACCACATGGTAGTCTAACATATTTGGACTCAGTTATTGGCGCTTCCAGGGCTGCAGGTACCCATCCAAACAAAAGTAAAGCCATCCATGGTCAATAGCAGGAAAGATACGGGAGAATGTCTAAATTCAGAGAAATCCCCTAGGTATATTGCTGCTGTTTTATTTATAAACTCAGCAGTTGCTAAACAACCCAGCGTTCACTGCCCCCAATGGCTTGAAGAAGAAGGAAGATAGCACTTGAGCTTGTGAGGTCATGAACGCTATGCCCTTTTCACCTAGCTGTCATAATTATTTCTTTTCTGATACATACCATAGATAAAAATGGAGACAGCTCGCCTTTAAAACAGAATTTTCACTTGATTTCAACCTACTCTTTGCGCTCTTTAGAAGGAGGAACGTTATATGGTTATGTTCTTCAGCGCGTTTCCAGCAATTATTATCATTTCAAGCATCGGAACTTTCGTATGCCACAGCTCGATTCCAAGAGTTTCAATTTGATAACTTAGAGATCCATGTAACACCCTTCCTCTGGATACGTACCCCATTTCTTCACTTATTAATCTGCGATGGGCATTGTATTTACACAGATAACTTGGCTTTGAAACAAGAATACCCCACTATTGATTGGCAAGGTCAGATGGAATGGGATGCAGCAGATACCCGGATAATAAGTACGAGTCCTTGTAAATTATTTACAGGAGGTTTTAGTGTCCTTTTGTTTCATGCCATTAACTTTGTTGCATAATTACGGAACGATTTTGATTCTCTTCCATTGCCAGGGCATACTCATGAACAACGGCTGTCACGAGATCTTGGTGGTAAAACTCTTAGGGACAGGACAAACATGTCCAGTTTTGTTGAAAGTGCTTGATGCTGGCAATTTCATATCAGTTTGTTCTTCCTTGACACATTGACACTTGTTTAAGTGTTCCTGTTTTTTCTTTCAACTTCAGCTGTTGTTGGCTTTTGGATAGTTGGTATATTTCTTTTAATGAAGGTGACTACAACTTTGAGAGTGAAAAGTCAAATGTACTTCAATCTACAATTTAGTCACAACATTATTTGTAAAAAAAAATTAAACTCATATTCCGCTGACGTCTGTCTCTTTGAAGAAGAACACTGTTCATAGGTTATGTAATGATTACCGAACTTTTCCTTCTTTTCGCAGTTCATACTAGCAAATATTAAGCATAAAACTCGGAAGTGAGACTTAATATTCAGACTGGCCTGTCACATTATAACCAATGTCACAGGATCCGGCCCCCTAATGTCGAGTACGTGCAAGGAAGTTCTTTGTAATACTGTATTTTTTCCTCTAGTTTAATAATAATAATAATGAGGAGGATGACGTTGATCTCATCATCATCATCATCATCATCATCATCATCATCATCATCATCATCATCATCATTATCATCATTGCGCAAATTCCCGCCCATCAGCAAGCTCTATGAGCTTTATAATCTATATTATTACCCCAGCAGACCTAACAGCATTCTGAAACAATCTCAACTACCTGGGAAGCATACAGTGCTAGCTGCCATTTTAATGGCACTTGAACTCTAACATACTGACAAGATGGCCGGGTACCCATTCACACCGGAGTGAAGTGAGGAAAATCCTTGGGAAGTGCCTTTCTCAAAGACATAACGTCGGGCTTGATGCTCATCCACCTTCCCCCCCCCCTCTCCCGAACTCACAACCTCACGATATCCTATCCACCAGACCACCGACGCCACACACAGTTTGCTAAATCCTCGTGTCGACCTAGAAGTACACTGAAGAAAAGCCATGAGTGATCCAGCCTTTTGTAGTTTTCAAGAAGGATAAAAAGCAACTGGTTTTGTCATGTCATACAACAATAAGCGTCACTCCCACATTATCAAAAGATACATTTGAATACCAAGGCCCCAAGATGTGGAATGCTTTACCAAGCACTTTAAGAGAGATCACATCTTTTGATTCATTCAGATGTCAGCAAAAGTCATTTCTGTTTTTAAATTAATTATAAGATGAATATTTTGAGTAATTTTCTTTTACTCAGAACACAAGGTTTTATATTACTGTTTGTACGTTGTACTGTATTGTAAAGCGCTCAGAGCCTGTGTACTTTAATCGGGTTTGAGCGCTATATAAATGTCATTTATTATTATTATTATAAATACACTTAGTTTTATGTCTTATTCCGAGTTCTAAGTATAATTTGATAGTTGCCAGTACAAGTTTCTAAAACATAATGAATTTAGATACTCACAACTGCACGGTTTTAAAATGAAAGTATTAGAATAAACTATGTCTGTCTTACAGTTAAAAAACGACAATCCCAAGAATTTTCCACATAATATGAATATATTCAATCCATGTTAAAAAAGTATCAAAGCAATAACGAAAACAATCTTGCAGTGTTTAGCGACCAAAGCAAAATATCTCTTAATGGAAAAAAGACAAACAATCCCTTATCGATTCAAACATGCAGGACACAAGCTCCTATATTATTATAAATTTGTAATCGACTGTGCTTTAGTAAATTGCAAAGAGCAGAAGTATCTTATCTGCTTTGACTACAAATGATATTTGAACGTATTTCCAATGACATAAGTTCGGCAACGAATAGTATCCCGATTACTTTGTAAAACAGAAGAAAACAATCAGTACACATGGTGAAAAAGAAACAACAACAGAAAATTTCCGTAATAAAATTATAGAATCTAGTACATTCTCCATTTTATGAGAATGAAATCTCAACCAGAACAAAACAAGACCCAAAAAAAGGGGGAAAAAATACAAGAAAAAGACAGTTGACAATGCCAAAATGGACAATTAAAAAATAATGATATCCTTACCTGTATTGAGACTGAGCGTGAGAACAAATTCATAAGCACTTGGAGTCATGTAAAGCGTCTCTCAAACACGACAGTAGAATCGCACTCTTCACTGTCACACTCCAAGTTTTCTTCAAGTTACAGACGAATAAAGACCAGGTTATGTGAGCACGCAAAACCCTTCTTTCGAAGAACAGCCACGCCACTGTCAAGCTGCAGTTGACAACATCACAATGATATTACGTTGACCCCCATGGTTTAAAAAAAAATTATTATTTAACTCGTTTTGAGTAATATGTTTTGATGAACTGTTTGTGGGTCTCTTGTCTTTGGGATTGATAAAATGTTTCCAGAGTGAGTGTGTCAATATTTTGAAAATTGTTATTTTTCAAGTGTTCAAAGAAAAATACTTCTTCTAATAACAGTCAGCTCGGGTGATACTAGGGTCAAAGTAATGTGCACCGCGAAAATGTTTGAGAGACACAAGGCGTGAGTCGGAAGATGTCTGGAGATTTTCTAAAGTAATAAAAGTATCTTTTAATGAAACGCAAATCACTTTTTTACCGTTAGTGTTCCTTTACACGCCCAGAAAACTAGTCCAGATTTTCACATTCTACAAAGACAAAGGAAGAGATGTTTCTAGATACGTTCGTGTCATATCGTCAAAACTTTTCAGCGGACCAGTTGCTGGGATAGATATTGAAGAAGATCCAACATTTGACTGGGTTATCCTTTCGTGCCGACACTGCAGGTGAGCGCTGAGATCGTTGGGGGTGAGTGCGGGTCAACGGACAACAGCAGACTAGTAGCGCGGCTTGCCACTCATGTCGGGGAAGACAAACCCCAGCAGTGGTGGCCAGCGAACGGATTACAGCCGCCCGCTTCTCCCCTCCCTCCCTCCCTGGCAAGTCTCGCTCGCTCGCTCCTTTCCGTCCAGTACTCACGAAGAGGGTTAAAGAGTGTAAGAAAAGCGCGCTGCGCTCACGCGTGAACTTGCCGCGCGATCGGGCAGTGGCGTTGACGGTGAGAAACTCATGAGCTCTTCGAAGTAACAGGGTGAGAGGGATGGGAGAGAAAAGGAGAGATCATTTTGAGGTGTGTGTGTGGAAGGGGGGGGGGATACAATTTTGGTGTGATGGTTACAGAAATTAATAATACTATATGAATGGGTAAACAAACCAATCTAATAATAGTTTTAATGTATTCAGGCCAATGGGTGAGTTGGCATAAGAAACAATAGTGGATGTAAATGAGGAAGGGATAATGTTCACTGGGTCTGGGACTCATGTTAATGGGGGAATGTGGTGGGGGATGGGGGATGGGGGAAGGGAATGCGAAAGTACATGAATAAATAAATGATTGAGTGTGTGAGAAAGTTGATGGTGGGTCAAGGCATTGATATTTAATTATTCTAATGTTTGGGACAGTTTGTTCATTGAACGCTTGTGGGTGGGGAGAGGGGGGAGCAGGGTGGGTGAGGTCTCAATAATAGACGAACGAATGAATGAATATAACGAAGTGTACGTAAAAAGACTGGTGTATTTATTTTATTTTGGCGG